CTCATTTATTTTAAATTAATGAACTCATTTTTTAAATTAATGATCAGCTGATTAAAAAAAATATTTGAAAGACATTTATTTTAGATATTTATTTTAATACATTATTAAATTATCGTGTTTGAAAAATAAATTTAATTTTTAAAATTTTAAATTTGAATAGTATTACTCTGATTTAAATTCAAATTTAATATATTATAAGTCACATTCGTTAAGAGATTCATTTAAAAAAACAAAGAAGTTGGTTTACATTCAAATTAGTCATCTCGTTGTTGTTGTTGTTGTTGTTGTTGTTTTTTTTTTTTTTTTTTTTTTTTTGTGTAGTAAATTACACATTGTATCCATGTTATTTATATTAAACTCTACTTTAGCCCTTAATTTTTTTAATTGTGACAATTAATTTCTTGTTTTTCAATAAAATTACTTTTCTCCTCTTTCATATGTTTCTATATTCTCCACAATATTTTCTTTATTTACTGTATTTTTTAAACTCACCACAACCAACCTCTACTAGATTGAGATGTACCTTGCGAACTGTTTATTATCAAATACTAACTACTATACGATTAGATGTATTTTACTCTTTTAATTATTGAGAGAATTACATATCAGTGGAATTCAGTAAAATATTTATAAAAAAGTAAAAAAAAATTATAATTATAATTATTAATATTTACAATATTTATCACTTTTTTATAAATATTTTTTCCTGACATCTAATAATGTGTAATTTTCCCTTAATTATTTGTGCTCCATAATTTAGTTAATTATATCCAAAATATTATTATTATTATTATTAATCTTAAAAGAATCTAAGGAAATTGCTGCACGTGCCACCTAACCGTGCCACCAAACCGTTGTACTAAATTTACAATTTGTAAAATTATATTTATAATCATAATTCTCTGTCATAGAACTTTTGTTTCTCAAATATTTTAATTTCTTGGAGCAAGAGAAAACCTTTACTATATATTTTTTCAACTAAGCTGGAACCCCCTAAGCAATTACATGTGCAAAATTCTATATAAATAATTATTTTTTCAAATGATTTCTTGGGATAGGAGAATATTTTTTTCAACTTACTAAGCTGGAACGCCCTAAGCATTATAAATTAACTTTTTTTGTTTTTATAAATTTTGTTAATTGATGTTAGAAATATTTTACGTTTTACATGAAAGTATGTGTTTAAATAATTAATGTCTTAGCATTTTAAATGGATCCATTATAATTAAATAATATGAACAACTCAAATATTTAATTACTCTGTCAGTTTGTAAACAACGTTTATAAAACAAAAAATTAAAAAAAAAAATGTTTATTATATTACCATTTTGCATATTAACGCTAGCATAACATAGATTGTGCTTCTGAGTTGGCTGCCATTTAGGAAACACTGGAAACAATGAAAACAAGAAAAATGTTTTTGCCGAGATGTAATGTTTGGACAATAATGCGATTCTTGTTCCCTCAGTCTTCCGCTGTATCCTTTTTTCCTGCTTCTAATAAAATTCTTCTCTTGTTGCTGATAAAAAAAACAAGAAAAATGTCTTCAATTGCCACTAGTAAACCAGCTTGTTATGAAGTTCTTGCTGTGCTTTTTCTTTTTCTTTTTCTTTTTCTTTTGTTTGAGTCTATGTTTTTCCCTTCTTAGTTAAGTGAATTTTTGGAAGAGTTCATACAATAGGAGAGAGAATGGAAAAATCTTAGGTGTATTAAGAAAAGTGCAAAGGAAATATATCGCAGAATAAATTTATTTTAAATGTAATTCACACTACATTTAGGATCACATCTAGTGTATTTTTATTGTTCTTTGTTGTAATTATATATATTTAGCATTTCTATATTATTTATACATGAAAGGGTTGAAAAAATAAAGAGTTAAATCTAAGTCGCATATAGTTATACTCGAGAGATTTATAATTTGACTTTTGTATTAATTTTGTTTGTGTAGTTTCAATTTATCAATTTTGTCTTTTAATTTTTTTTGGCTTCATTAAAATATTAAAAAAAATAATGGCAAAATAGTTCTTTCAAAAGGAAATTTGATCATTTTAAATTAGGCACCAATTCCTCAATCAATTTAATGAATTATTTTACTCTTGACATCAACTCAATTTTTAAAGAATCATTAGGGCATGTGTGGAGTAATAATCATGTATTCCAACAATAGCATGTTGATTGTGTACATGCTCAATAATAGAGGATTTAATGCTTACGTGATCTAAAATATAAATAAAACACACAATAGACAAATCAGAAAACACTAAAATTGGTATTGATGTCATACCCATGTGATAGCTTTTAAGTGTGTGACGATAAATTCTAGATTGATGTTGTTGTTTTAGAAGACTCAACAAAGATTTTGCTAGTTAGATGAAAATTAAATTTGTATAGTATGAATTTAAGGATGAAATAAATTTAAATTATAGATTGACATGTTTAGATATAATTTAGGATAATTTTTTTTTAAATTGTAGTATTACTATAATTTTTAGAAAAAATTACAATTCAATATATGTTTTCAAAATAAATTTCAAATCAATGAAAAAATTTACAAACTTTAATAATTAAAGTGATAAATTTTTTTATGACTTTACAATTTTCTTTTAGTCTTAGAATTGATTTGCAATTTCCACAAGTGTGGAAAAAAAAAAAAAAAAACCGACAACAACAATCAAGGAGGATTTGGTCAAAACTTATAGTTATAAAACTTTAATACATTAACGACAAGTGTAAAAAAAAAATTCTTGAAAAGTTGAACATACACCACTATTATCAAAATATATTTAGTGAGTAATTTAATATTTTAAACTTAAAAATAATATAACTTTTGATTTAGATCTCGATTTTTAATAAAAATAATATTTTTAGAATTCTCTCATCAAGATCTATCAAATAAAATCTATATTGACTATGAAATTCTTAAAAAATTAAAAAAAAAAATATTGTTGAAATTGACGCAAACAGTGACGTGTTATTTTGTTTGACATTATATCACTACAACATATAAGGGTTTTAGAGACCAAATATCTTGGTCTCTAAAAGTAAAAATTTTGTTACAAAAGACATTTAAAAACCAATTTCCATTGTCACGAGAATAGCGGTTAAAAGGTCATCTCGAAAAGTCAAAAATAAAATTTTTAACGACAAAATTTTGAAAATGTCACTAATGAATAGACTTTTATGAACAAAATAATTTCTCAAAATAGTTTATTTTTTAAGAAAAAAATTTGGTCATAAAAGGATAATAATTCATCACTAATGTCCAATTTTCATTGTTAAAAATATAATAACGACACATTTCGTAACAAAAATATTTGATGTCAAAAAAATAATTTTGTCCCTAAATTTTGATTTCTAAATCTTAATTTTTTGTGATGTATTATTCTGATTCACAATAACATTTTACTATTACAAAAAACAAAATACATACTAGATGAATCAACCAAAAATATCCATAAAAAACATTTTTAAATTGTATAAAATAAAATAAAAGTGTTTCTCATTAAAAGACTTTTGGAATATATATATATATATATATATGCATGGACAATATTATCTGTAAAAAAAAGAAAAAAATTCGGTCCTTAATCATATACTTTCTTCTTATAAAATTGCTAAAACAAAATAAATTAAGTTACTCATCTTACCAAATTAGGATTCAATAGATAAGTTTTGGGGAACTTACTATAAGTCCCATGTACTAAGTTCAAAACCCAGCTAATCCCAAAACAAAATACTTGCACCAATTAGTCCAATACATTTTTAATTGTTACCAAAAAATCCTTTTTTTTTTAATTTACAGACACTGTTCACATCTTACTACCGTTGGACTTCCGTCAAACGGTCACCGGAGACTCGTCAGAATGTTCAACATCGCCGGAGACTCGTCGGAATATTTAAAACATGTTATGAAACTGTAAAATTTTACAGTTCTAAAAAATGTTATAAAACTGTAAAATTTTACAGTTTTAAACCATGATTCATTCCAGCACCAAAAAAAAAAATTAAAACTGTAAAATTTTACAATTTTCACCGCCTGTAACTAAAACTCGAAAATTACTTGTTCAGAATTCCAAAATTTTCTCATTACAAATCTGTGTGATATCTGTACAAATCTGAGTCATTACAGATCTGTTTCAATGATATTATAGATCTATTTCATCATCAACAACAACAACCATAGATCAACAACTATCCCCAAAAAAATTTGTAAATAGAGAGAGAAAGAGAGAGAAATTGACAAAGATATATACACAAATCTGTTCAATCTAAGCACAGATCTGAAGATGAGCGTCTTCTTGTTCTTGTTCTTCATCGTCTTCTTGTTCTTGTTCTTCATCGCCTTCTTGTTTGATTTTAGGACTGAGATTAGGGTTAGAGGAGGAGGCGTAAAGAGGAAAGCAAAAAGCAGAGAGAGACAGGAAAAGACTTTTAAATATACTCAAAAAGTTATGAAATTAAATAGTGTCCACATGTTCCACATAGGACCTATGAGTAATTTCCCAATAAGTAAATTTTCCAAAAGGAACGTACAAGGCCCACAAAATTTGAAAATGTAAACATGGGGCGGAGGGTACTTCCACCCATAGGTGACCGCCTCCTGACTAAAACCAAGTCAACCGTTTCTTCCGCCACATGGAATAGAACAGAACCAGTCGTCCATTACTCTGGTAAAAAAATAAATAAATAAATAAATAAAAGTTAATTACACTAGACTATTTAATTGTTAGTAAATATTATTTTATTTTTTTTATTTATAAATTCGTACATATTAGTATTTTAATTATGAAAATTGTAAGAATTTGTAGAAATAAAAGTGATAATTTCGTAATTAAGTAATTCAAAATATGTAAATTTATAAATAATGCGATAAAATAATATTTATTAATAATTGAGGGTAACCAAAAAAAATAACAAAAACCTGTTATACACCCAAGACATGCCATTCCTAGTCTCCTCATGATTGTTTTCTCCTCTATAAATACACCCCATTTTCACCTTATATTCTTCATCACCTCTCTCTCTCTCTCTGTCTCTCTGTCTCTCTAGTTGAGCTTTGTATCAATGTCTCCTGCACTGAGTTTGGCAGTTGAAGCCAAGAGAGAAGACGAAAGTCGATACCAGAAAGGAGTGAGACATCTATGTGAGACTGGGATTACCAAAATCCCAACAAAGTATATATTGCCAGTTTCGGACCGACCCGAAAATGGAGATCACAATGCCAACAATTATGGTATCACGTTACCAGTAATTGACTTTGCTCAACTCCAAGGCTCGAATCGATCCCAAGTGCTTCAATCCCTCTCAAAAGCTTGTGAAGAATATGGGTTTTTTCAGGTTGGAAATTCAACTCTTGGGTTCTTTTTTAAAACCTGGAGTTTTAGTATGGCCATACTTGAACTAACTGTCAAGGGTTTGCTTCCCAAATATCTTCTTAACAATATCTTTATATATAAAATTCATACAAAATAATATGGTAACGTTATATTTACCGCTTTATTTGGTATATAGATTTTGTTTGCATAACATTATATTATCTCAGTTAATATTGGAGTTCAGCTGTCAATTCTTCTAATAACTGGACATCATTTGACTAGCGAGGAATCAAACCCTATATTATTTAGACAAATCATAAAAAAGCCTATCCCTATATATTTGTAGAAAGGATTTTATTGACATATGTTCTTAAGAAAATGTTAATAAATTTTAGAAAGTTATACATTTTAATTTTGCATGAAAATAAATACAATATATAAACAAATCTGCCTCGTATATGTATTATTGTGAGCCCAATAACTTACTGTGTGGTGGGTAGAAAGTATGGTAAGAAACATATTTATTTATAAACAATCATATATAGGGTAAAGTTGCATACACTTGATTTTTTTTTTACACTGTAATGACAAAAGTCACGCGTACTGAACTATTGTCTTAGCATTTATTTATATGAATAAGGAAGAAATATATAGGGTTCGTTTGGTTTGTATTTGTGAAAAATTTTTGGGAAATTTTCTCTACAAATAAGGTCAAGTTTGGGAAGACTAAATAAGTGCACTTTTTTACTTTTTTTGTATTATGTGTAGAAAAAGTAGAGAGGAGATGTTGATTGATGTGACTCAAAAAAGATAAAAAGATAAAATAAGTGCACTTTTTTAGGTTAGCCAAACTTGGCCTAAGTTTTTAAAAGTAATCAAACCAAACAAATTTTTCCAAAAAAATTTCTCAAAACTTGTAAACCAAACAAGTTTTCCAAACAAATCTCTCTCAATCACTTTTTTCAAAACTCTCTCTCAAAATAATTTTCCAAAACATCTTTTGAAAAAAATCAAACCAAACAACTTTTCGTACTTTTTATCTCTAAAACACAGCTCTTATTGTCTTAGCATTTATTTATATGAATAAAGAAGAATTTTTAGTGAATCTTTTTTTTTTTTTTTAATTATTTGGTGGTTTGATGCAGTTGATAAACCATGAAATCGGGAGCGAAGTAATACAAAAAATGATTGATGCAAGTAGAAGATTTTTTGAGCTCCCATTTGAGGAGAGAGCAAAGTACATGTCTTCCGATATGCGATCACCGGTCCGGTACGGCACGAGCTTTAACCAGAAAAAAGATGGAGTGTTTTGTTGGAGAGACTTCTTGAAGCTTAGCTGCCATCCCCTCTGTGATGTTCTTCCTTTCTGGCCTTCTTCTCCTTCTGACTTAAGGTAATTTATAAAAAAATTATGTATGAAAGTTTAATTGAATCCATATGTGCATGCATAGCATGCATATTGTTGAAAATATATATAAATAATAAAGTTATCTCAATAGTTAAGCTTTTAGATGAGTTAATGGTTAACAAAGATATCAAATGAGTTAAAGATATCTCAATAGTTAAGCTTTCAGATGAGTTGAAGTTATCAAATGAGGTAATAAATAATATTTACGAAGGTATTTCCTATATTTTGATCATTGTGTCATTTTAGTTCCTGTAATTTTAATTGGCTCGATTTTGACATTGAATTTATGACATTGCTTCAATTCGGTCCAATTGATTACAACTCTTATTATTTTTTTATGAAAAATACACACATAAGTGTCGTATGTCATTTTTTTTTTTATATTTAAAAGATCTCATGTGTCATATTTTTAATAGCAAAATTATAAATTTACCCAGCTCAATAAGTTAACTTCAATCAATGTAGTGATATATTTTCTTAAAAAACACTAATGATATTATCAATTGAACAAAATTGACATAAAATTTAAAATTAAGGATCAAAATCAAATCAATTGAAAATGTATGAGCCAAAATATTACAAAGAGTAAAATATAGGAACAATCAGTATAATTTGTCCTTATACTAACCATACATATATTTGTATAAACACACATTGTATACACCCATATATGCACCCATGGGGTTGCCTAGGCAACCAATTACAAGTACTTAATAGTTAACAATGTCAATTAATTAATATTAACAACAATCCTAGTTTTTAAAGTCTTTTTTGGATATTTTATTAATACAGGGAAGGGGCAGTTAACTACTCAAAGCAAATCAAATTCTTGTATTTGATGCTGATGGAGGCCATTGTAGAGAGCCTAGGGTTGACAGAGACCGGTGACGACAATGATGGCATTTTAAAAGAATTTGAAGATGGGAGCCAACTCATGGTGGTGAATTGTTACCCCTCATGTCCAGAGCCAGACCTAACCCTAGGCATGCCAGCTCACTCAGACTATGGCTTGCTCACACTTCTTCTCCAAGATGAAGTCAAAGGTCTCCAGATACACCATCAAGGGAGATGGGTTACTGTTGAACCCATTCCAAACTCATTTGTTGTCAATGTTGGTGACCATCTTGAGGTACAATAACCATTCACTTCTACTCTTCCAAGATGAAGGGATTGAAACTTCTTATGGTCCAAAAGAAAATAATAATATTTATCACCCTTGAAAAGTAATGTAAAAATTACTCTAAAAATAACACGTGTGAACAAAATTTATTCTCACCGATTCATACCATACCAAAGTTTGTATTTACACCATGCTCTTTATTTTTGGAGTACTGTTTTTAAATAATAGCTTTTCGAAAAGAATAATTCATTGATTAAATCTGGGGGAATTGCAAATAAGTAGAAGAAATTTTTTTTGCAACTAATGCTACAGACCCATTTGCATTTATTTCCTCCTTTTCCCATTGATTTGCACTTCTCTATTAATTTTGAGAATTGTAAATTAATGGAAAATAAGTGAAAGTACTGCAAAATTATAGAGGTGAAAGCAGAATTTGTGCTCCGAAGCAATTAAGATTACAGTTTTTACGTGTACCACTGTACAAACCTACTTGCATCTCAATATTTTTTGCAATTTCTTTCATTTCTTTCTACTAATTTTCAATTCCTCATTAAATTTCCATTGTAAAAAAAGGTAGCTAATGGATATTTTATTTTTCATTTTTTTATAAATTCTTTAATTGGGTTTTGTTTGGCAGATTTTTAGCAATGGAAGATACAAGAGTGTGCTCCATAGAGTGGTGGTGAACTCTTTAAAATCTCGAATCTCCATAGCTTCACTGCACAGCAGACCCATCGACAGCGTGGTTCAACCATCCCCCAAACTCATCAACGAAGCAAACCCTAGGCGTTACAAAGACACAGATTTTGCCACTTTTCTTGAATATATTATATCTTGTGAACCCAAAAGCAAGAATTTCCTGGAGTCCAGGAAACTAACTTGAGGGGCAAAATTGGAAAGTCAAAAATTATCTTTGACTTTGTTAGCAATTAATTACTTTCTATGAAAGTAAAATGATTTTGATGGGATCTCTAGTCTAGTAGTAATTGTTAGTAATTGTACCTTTGACAGCCATTAGATAATATAAAAGCAATAAAAATTTTATCTACTCTTTAGTGCTCTCTCGGAAACACAGCAAAAAGTTACGTTCAGCAGCTCCAAAAACGCAAGGTGTGAAAGCTAAAAATGCATAATACCATTTGGAAAGTTTAGCAAAACACAAGGTGTGAAATGATGTAACTACCCTCCATGTTTAGAAATTGAATCCTAGGGCAAATCATCTCCCAGGGGGTATTTTAGTCATTATATTGTGATGTGATATCAGAAACAAATATTAACCCAAAAAGTAAAAAAAGTAACTTTTTACCAACTTCTCAAATCATTTTTCAAGAAAACCAAAAGGCTTGGTTAAAAGTCAAAAGTTAACTTTTAATTATATTTCCAAAATACCTCTCTTTTGACTTGGCTTTTTTATGTTCTTTTTTAGTTTAAATTTGATAATATAATTTTTAATTTAAAAAATTAAGAAATATTATTAATTAATTAAGCAATGTAAAATATGCGGATGGAGATAAATAATCACACACAGATAACAAATTTAAGTGAAAAAACTCAAATGAAAACAAAATTATATATGACAAACCAAAATTATCAAGATCTAGATAATAGGAACCAAATTTTTATGTCCGTAAAAGTGAAAATCTTGCGACAAATAATGTTTGGAGATCAATTCGCACCGTCACAAAGATAGTCGTAAAAAAGACATTTCTAAAAGTAAAAAAAATAACTTTTAGTGATAATTTTAAAAATATTGCTAAGAAATGCATTTTAGAGACAACACAATTTGGTACTGAAAAGGTTTATTTCTTATGACAAAAATTCAACACTAAATGACCAATTCGTAACTAAAAATATAATAATGATATGTTGTCCCTAAAAATTATTATTATTTTTTTTTCTAAATCTAGGTTGTTTTGGAAAGTACAAAATAAGTTAATTTTTTTCTTATTATGAAGAAACGTGCAAAAAATAAAGAGATGATGTAACCCAAATAAACTAAAAAGTCAATAAATTAGCTTATAAGTCACTTCCCAAAAGATGCCACTTTAATCGATTGTACAAATCTTCTTTACTCTAACACCAAACAATTTTGGGGTCTTTTAAAGCATCTCCAACGGTTCACCTAATTTTTTATCAAATTTGAGTAAAAAAATGACCATTTTCTCAATCTAATACAGATTGCTCCAATGGTTGATTTTCATCAAATCTGCTTCAGGGACAACCGGTTGGTCGACCGATAAGGCAAATTTTATTTTTTTTTTGAATTGTTTAAACCTACTTATTTGAACTGTTTGAACCCTTTAGTGGTCGACCGGCTGGTCGACCAGTAAGGCAAAAATATTTTTTTTTGAATTGTTTGAACTTATCCATTTGAACTGTTTGAACCTTTTAGTGGTCGACTGGTTGGTCAACCGGCCGGGCAACCAGCTGGTTGACCGGTTCCTCTCCTCCAACGATCACAAACAATAATTTGCTGAAATCTGTATTTTGTTCTCTGTTTGATAATTTTTTTGTTCAATTCTCAATTTGATACCAGTTTGGTGAAACCGTTGGAGCTTCAAAAAGTGCCTTTTTTACCAAATTTCAAATTTGATGCCAGGTTTGGTAAGCTGTTGGAGATGGTCTTAGGAAGCAAAAAAAAAGTCATCTTTTAACTTTTTACTTATTTTGGGTCATATCACCTCTTACATTTTTTACCTACAAAAAAATAAATAAACTAAAAAGTTAAAAAGTCAACATTTTACAAATTTTCCAAAACACCACTTTATTGTCTAATAATCTACTATCAACACGTGTCTATTCTCTCACTTTGACGTAACACCATTCTCCAAGCTCCTCAAAATTGATCAATAAAGAAAAACACTAATATGCAAACTTAGCCACTCTCACAAAAATATGAATTCATGTTAAAACATGCACCAACATTATTGAAACATTCATGATTTGAGAGTAAACAGTGATATCCGAATATGTTTGTAACATTAGTAATTTGGATCTCACACCTTGGTGGCCCCTCCCATGGGGGACCATTTGATAACTAGGGTTTGAAGGACTTTTAATCCAATGCCCTATTCTTTTCTAGGGTCGCATATATCATACACCACGTAGCCAACTATCTCCCCACATAAATTTCAAGTGAATTGCCGTGCACTTTTGAGAAAATCAGTGTCACTAGAAATAATATCTAGCTCAGCTTGAAATCAACTGGGATGACTTACAGTGAATTGTCATGCACTTCGGAGCAAATCATGAACGCAATATTGCAAGTTGCAAGTCAACTTGTAACCAACTGGGATGACTTACACTGATTAGTCAGTACTATAGGCCCCATTCTAACACTGATCAATTAGTACGAATTCCCTCAATTGATTTTTTAGATTGTGCTTTACCTTTTTTTTTATGAATTTTTTTATTTGCACATAAATTGATATATTCAATTTTGTAATCAGTTTTCCTATTTTTAGATTTTTTTATTATATGTAAAAAGACGTACATGAACAATTAATTAAAATCGTAGTCTCGACCTCATACATGAACTAGCTAGTTGACCTTAAAAAAAAAAAAAAAAAGGTGACAAAAGATACTAGTTGACCTTTTACAACCAAAAAAACAAAAACCAAAAACAAAAAAAAAAGTGACAAAAGAGTCTCTATTATCGGCTAGCTTGCCAAATGGTAAAAAATATATGTGTAACCAAAGCTTATCAAAACACATTTTGTCAACAATAATACAAACTTGAAAGCAATCTTTGAGATTATTCATATTCAGTTTTCAATTACAATTACAATCACAGTAATTGCATACAATTTTCCGTTAGGATGGCGGTTTGTACTGAATTAATGGTGGTAGTGACCATGATATTGACTATGAAGGTGATGGTGATGAGAATGGCTATAGCGATTCCGGTTTGACCTGTCACTTGTCGCAATCCGGACTCAGGTTGGTGTGGTTTCTGAATATTGGTCATTGCCCATTTTCTTTATTCCTCCTTAAATTTGGTTATTTAGGTGTATTCAATGTGTATGGAACAGGTTGGTTACTTGGTTTTCAAAGCTTGTGTTGCCCAGATTTTTGGTCCTCCGCTCGAGCGGCCTTTCTTGTGCTCAAACGGGATCTGCAAACTCTCAGTACTTTGCACATCTACAAAAGTACTGGAGTGGTGTTTTTCACACTCGAGCGACGTTTCCTACGCTCGAGTGAGTTGGCGCTCGAACAGACTTTATTGCGCTCGAGCGGTCTACCTGTTGTCTGTAAAAGTTCTGAATGTGTATATTCTACATTTGAGCGGGCCACTTTTGCGCTCGAGCGGAACAAAACTTTGTATCTGACGCTCGAGCGTCAACTCTTCCGCTCGAGCGAACTGTGAGTATATCAGATCGCGAAAATGACTTTTTACATTACTTTTTCAGATCTATTCTTCAAAAAGCCCTAAAGTGAGACTTTCTCTCTCTCTCTCTCTCTCTCTCTCTAAAACTTACCTTCTCTCTATATTTCCATCTAGATCTAGTGATTTCTCTACCTTATTTTTGTTGTTAAAAATGTTAAGCTTCTCAAGATCTTCACTTTGATCCGAACAAACTTGGGTTTCGGTGTCTTTAGAGTTTCAACCTTACTTTGCTCGTCTTCTCTTCTTGAGGTAGGAATTTTCTACACTTTAATATGATTTTTAACTTAGTTATTTGTCGTTGTGTAACAATGGTGGGATTTGGGTGTAGTTTAGACAAACCTAGGGTTTTGGTATGAAATAAAAAGAGGGATTTCTTTGTGAATGTGAAATAAATGAGTGTAGGGTATGAATATGAATCATGTTGTGTCAAAATGGTTGATTTTGATGCTTTGGTTCATATGTGGAAAAAAGTGAGGGTTTGCCCTAATTGAATTAATTGTTATTGTGTATAAATAATTGGATTTGTTATTGAAAATGGCGAAATGGAATGATTATTGATATGAATAGTGGGGTTGGATATCTTTTACCTCATACCTTTGGAAATTTTGGATAAATTATCTGTTTTGAGATTATATATCTGTTTAGAAATATCTGTATTGGGCTATTGGTGGAGGATAACTTTGATTGTTGTAGAAATTGCATGTGGTGAATTGAAACTAATCTCTTTTTGGTTGTCATTAAATATGACTATGCATATATACATTATATATGTATGATTATTTGGGAGAAGAAATAGGATGTACTCCAAGTGTGATTATATGTTTAAATACATTGTATATGTATGATTGTTTGGGAGGAGAAAGGGGATTGACTCCGTTATAATTAAGTTGGTCGGAGTGTCTTGGGTGAAAGTCCCGAAATTTATACATAGGTGCCGATCCTGCGGACGAAATATCCGTAAAATGGCAGTTGGAAGTGTTTGTGTGTTGATTGTGAAATTGTTGAACTATTGAGTTGTAGTCTCATTTGGGTTATTGATAAATAATGAAATTGGCTCATGTATTGAAATGAATTGAAGGAAAATAAAATGGAATATGGACTTGGTATTTTTATGACTATATAAAAGTGTGAATGTTTTATCCTAGGCATTGTATATGCACATCGTATTGATATCTTTGTTAAATCTCATATATTGTGTTAGATTATTTCTACTGGGCTGTGGCTTACCCTATTTGGGAAAAATATTTTCAGGTAATGATGGCATGCCTCCACCAAGGCAATAGCATTGAAGGGACTTTTGGGAAGCAAGAGCTTTCTTGTTTTGATTCACTTTGGTACGGCCAAGGGCTTTAATTGTACGAGTTAATCTCTTTTGTTATAACCAAGTCAAGGCTTAGAAAGATGTAAACTCTTAGGGGCATTTATTTTTATTAAACTCCTTTGTACTATTAACTCGAAGAAATGAAAGAACATTATACTCTAATTCATGCTGTAAACTGTATTTATGGTTTATTTTGGGGGTGTTACAATGGCGACCGTGATAGTTCTTAGGTAGTGTGATAGTAGTGGAGAGGTGGTGATTTGTTACTTTTTTTTTTTTTTGTCTTTAGTGGGTTGTTTTTTTTTTGTTTTTTTATTTTTAAGTTTATTTAGTCAAGTAAAATTTAGTAGAA